AGGAAGAGAAGGGGATTCACTAAGGGAGAAGGAAGGGATAGAAAGAGAGGGGGGGGGTTACATGTGTTTCTGATTCTACGCTGAGGGTTATCTTCCACATTGTTCTCTCCACAGACCCTGATCTGTCTGATCATCATGTTCACTATCCAGTGGATCTTTGCCCTCATCGAGCTCACCGTGTTCCTGCTCATCTACTTCTACATCGGCCGCGCCAGCCCCGGATACTTCCCAGGGCAAGCTGGACCTGGAGGGGAGGGGTGTATTTTTTTTTCGGTATTTTGCGGTTTTTTTGTTTCTGTGTTCCGATGTATAAATTTGGCCCGCTAAATTGGTGGTGTAGATAAATGTATGGGGGTTTTTTTTGGGAGAGGGGGGGGGTTTGGGGGGGGGGAAAATCCCCCCTTTACTTTTTTTATTTTAGAGTTATTTAGTTTGGAAGGAAGATAAGGGAGAGAATTTCCTGTCCTTGGCAGAACCACAGAATCGACAAATTGAGGAGGGTTCCATGCCAAAATTGGGGTCCATCCAATTGGTACCCCAGCCTTCCCGGTTCCCTTTTGGGGAAAAGGAGAAGGAACGATCTCCGAATTGAGGACGGTTTCTTGCCAATGGTTTTGTTCTGGGGGTTGGCCACACAAGCCTTAACTATATCTTTTTTGTGGGACCTAAAATCCAGAAAACCTATCAACATCCCAAAAAAAGTTTGTCCAAGGGGGCCGGAAAAGTATGTAAGTCACTTATCTTAAAAATGAGCCTCAAAAATTTTTGGGAAATTTTCTCCAAATCTTTAAAAGGAACAGAAGGTACCTTGCCCTACTTTTGGCAGCAAAAAAAAAACTGGGTGTCTATATATTACTATTGGGTGGTGTCAGAATATTTTGGTTTTGTACGAGAAAATTGTGTTGTCTTTTTAACCATTTAGCTTCTATCTGTTCTCAACATCTCCTTTGTAGGCCTACTTGTTTCTAGGAAGTATGATTTTGTCATAATTTGTTTTTACCCGTCTTCTTTCCTTATTTCAGGAATCGCAGAGTTCAACTTTTATGAATGGTTAAAAGAGCTCTTTAGCAGGTGTAGGTGAGTTGTTTGTAGTTTTAGTAAGAGTTTTTCGGCACTTGCATCACAGTAAGGTCATACAGGTGCCAAAGAATAGATGTGTTACTAGAGAGTAACAAACACAAAAAACATCAGTTCATGATGAACAAACTATTGCTATTATTATTATAAACATTTTATAAAAAATTATTATTATAATTGTTGTTGTTTTTATTATTATTTTTACTATTATTATTATTGTTTTATCATCATTGTTATTAATATTATTATTATTTTTATTTATTATTATGATCAACATTGTTTTATTATTAATATTATATCGTTATTATCATATTATGTTATTATTATTATCGTTATTGTTATTTTTGCAACAATTACTATTCATTGTTATCATTGTGATTGTTCTACTCTCCAATCTTCCCGTTCTGTGTTCTCAGACGCGGTCATCTACCGGCCGAGCATATAATCGTGGCCCCCCGAACCCCGGCCGTGGAGACGCTAGCCGCACAATTGACGGAAGACAACGCCGACTTTGCCAGCAGGGGGCGCTACCACCAGTCGGAGGTCATGCAAGGGGAGAATTTTGATGACTACGACAGTAATTAAATACAGCCCCACGCGTCCCTTCCCCTTCTCCCCCCCCCCCCCCCCCCCCCCCCAGAGATGGGCCCGGTTTGGGTGGGGGGGAGGGGATGCGCGGGATTCCAAGATAGATTTTTTTTTTCCGGGTCTCAGTGGTGTAGGCAGGGTTCATACGGGTCTTGGAAAACTGGGAAAGTCTTGGAATGTTGGTTTTATTTTCCTCCCGCAGACTTGAAAAACTCTTGGAATTTTGGGAAGTCGACAAAATTCTTGGAAATGTCTTAGGAAAACAAATTTTTAACTAGATCTAGATCTATTGTAAAAAAAATACTTCCTCGAAGTTTAGAAGTCCTCGACTTTACGCAGTCTGGAGTGTACCTTATATGTATTTTTGCATGCTGAACGAAAATGTTTTGTTCCCAATTGACATGTTATTTGTCTTGGAAAAAAGAAATCTGGTCTTGAAAACTCTTGGAAAAGTCTTGGGGGGAAAAATCTCCTGCTTAGTGTGAACCCTGTGTAGGTAGCCTACCCTATGTGAATCCTTTGTGGCAATTAGTAGACTTACTTGATGAGTTCATTTTTGAAAAACCAAAAAAAAAAGACACTCAAGCTTAACACTACAGTACACTATCTACCCACGCAGCGTGCTGAGCGCGCAACACTTATCCCCTCGGAGCAGGGTACAGATGCGGTACACGCTATATCCTGTCCCCATCGTTTTATGCAAGAAAAATTCTGAAATTATGCAAAATGAGCCCCAAAATGTGAAATTATGCGATTCTGTTAATTTTAACAAAGAATGAAAAAGGAAAATAATCAGAAATTATGCAAAAAATGATCAAATTTTTTCTAAATTATACGGGGTGCATAAAACCATGGGGACAGTATATCACACCATCTCCGATCGGCGTCCCGTAGGGGCAAAGTGTTAATAAAAGATTATACTGATATATATGTATTTTTGACTTTTAGAAAAATATATATTGTCAAACCTATCCAAGACAACTACCTATTGTCTGGGACCTGAGAAAAGTGGTCGTCTTCAACAGGTGGTGCTCTTAGACAGAGTCATGATGATATTGAAAAAAAGAAAATGCACGAGGGTGGGGGGGGGGGGGGGGGGGGTGAGGGAGTGGAAAGGGGTCCTTTTTATGGGGGATTTTCTTAAACAAGGGAT